ACCGACTTCACCTCCGACGCCTCCGTCCGCTCCACGTACTACCCCGAAGTGGAATCCCTCCTGCGCGCCAAGCTCCCTTCCATCCGAAGGATTGTCTTCTTCGACCACACCATCCGCAAACACGACCCGTCCGCTCCTCGACAACCCGTCCAATCCGTGCATGTCGACCAGACACCCAAGGCCGCCGAGACTCGCGTGCGCAGACATGTAACCGACGCAGAGGAAGCCGAAGAGCTGCTAAAAGGTCGATACCAAATCATCAACGTGTGGCGACCCATTAGCCATCCCGCGACGGATTTTCCCCTAGCTTTGGTGGATTGGCGGACTACCGAGCCGAAGGATCTCATCGCAGTGGATTTGCTCTATCCGAAGCGTAAGGACGGGGAGGATGACGGGGATGATCGCGGGAAGGAGGCGTTGCCTGACCCAGAGACGCTGAAGTCCACGAATGGGTATGAAATCAAGGGGGAGACGTACGGGGTTGTGCCGAGCGAGAAGCACAAGTTTTATTATGTCAAGGACATGACGCCGGAGGAGGCGCTGTTTATCAAGTGTTTTGACAGCCGTGCGGAGGGTCAGAAAGGGGGTAAGGAGGGTGTTGCAGCCTTGACACCGCACACAGCGTTTATAGATCCGCAGACGCCCACGGGGACAAAGGGGAGAGAGAGTATTGAGGTAAGGTGCTTGATATTTTACAATTAAGGTCAAGCGGAAATGCTATTACCACAACGAGTAATGTGCGTCAGCTCCTACTTCGTGTTCTCATACAAGTAAGGTTTGTCGATGTTGGGATGGCCGGCACTGCATCGTTCATATCCAAGACAGCGGCCTTTGGGGCCATCCAACGCCTATCCGGGTATAACACATATCCATTCCTGCCCAGAATTCGCGAACCCGCAAGTCAAACCATCCAAAGACCCTGTACCCGTGGTATCATAAAAAAAAAACTACTCCAAATTCAAACCCAAACGCCGGCGAAAGCAAACAGAACCCTGATTATACAAACCCTTCCCTGAAGTACAATTGGTGTGGTTTCATCGGTGTTTCCGGCCTGGTTGGGCTCGTCGGAGTGGTAAGGGTCGAGTACACAGACGAGTACACAGATGGGCTGTCTGCACGATCAGATCCCATTTCGCATCGTTCTGGTTCAAGGCAAAGGAAGACACTGCTGGCCCTCGATTCTAGCCACATTGTCTTGTTGTTGTCAGGCTTGTGCAATGCCACCTCAATGTGCTCCACGGTGGCTCCGGTGGTCCTAGTCTCTCTTGTGCGATGTGTGATGGGTATTGTCTTGAGTCGCGGTGGGGTTGCTTTGGGTGTGACCATGAGCGCGGGCATGTAGCGGCCTGCAAGGGTCCTGAGGCAAGGCAGGCATGCGCAAATGATGGCGACGTTGACCTCAACGATTCTAGAACGACTGTTAGAAGGAGCACAGGCAGGCATGCCCAATACGGGGTCTTACAGCCAAAGATAGTTCACCCCATATCTGTGGAGGAAGTCCATGTCCGAGAAAGAGTCTACCGTGAGATAGAGCCTGAACACGCTGATACCCAAGACGCTGTGGCATTTTAGCAACCGTGGGCGAAGCGCTTTGTGCTAGGATACGTACAAGCTTCCCGTTCCGAGAATGGCCACGATGGCTGCCTTTTGCGCAAACCCAACCCGCAACGGTTTGATCAACCATATGGGAAGAAGGAGGAGAACTAGGTCGGTAAGGACGTTCAAGGCAACAAGAGTCCCGAACCAGGCGTTGGCGTTGATGCATGTTCCCGGTGTGGTAGGAACCCAGGTTCTGATCATGGGCTGGCAGGCATAGAGAAACGCGAACGCCCCCATCAAGTTGTAAGCAATGACGATGGACAGGACGAAATATACGGCGATCTTGAATCGCTTGCTGACGGAGAATCGGAGATAGAAGGCCAAGATGGATGCCTTGGTGAAGAGGATGGAGAAGTTGTTTGTTATCGCGATGGGAAAGAAGCTGACCTAAATGATCAGGTCAATATGGATAGGGGGTAGCTTGTTGCGGAGGGTCATGACACTCACGACGAAATAACCGCCCTGGACCCTCCCGTTTGCGAGCTCCCATTTATGAAGCCCGAGTTCATACTTGAGTTCTGGTCATGGTCAGCATAATGTTGGCGATCCCCTTCCTCTTCTCACGATGCTGAAGGACAAACGCACGGAAGCCCGTTGATATCGAGTAGAGAATAGAGAAGATCAGCGCAATGAGTATGAGCCCTGGTTACTCTGGTTAGTACGTGCAGGCTACGCTGGAGGGCTACTGGGCTCACAATCGTGTTTTTCGATGCGTCGGGAGAAAACACGGGCAGAGTAGAGCCGCAAACCAACAAACAGTGTTGCCAGCGCTGGTGTGACAATAGATGTGACAAGGATGCTCCTCCGCAGATCGGCCGAATTTTGGTAGATGTCGGTGTAGTCTCGTGAGAGGATCATTGTGGCAGGCCCTCTGCCGACGGCCGCATCTTCACGTTTCCCCAGGATGATGATGTTGTCGTCGTGGTGGTTTTGTTCTTGTTGGGCGAAGTCGATCTCGAAGTCGAAAGGGCGGAAGTGAAGGGTCCTCCGCGCAGGCCTCAGGGGCGAGTGTGCATTATCAACCCCACGACTTGCGAGAATGAGCTGACGGGCGGACTGGACAAGCCACACACATCTTGACTCCCTGTTCTGCGGCATTGGTGATAGCAGGTGTTCCGTCGATGATGGGCTGTGTGATTGGTGCGTGGGTCGGCATCCCTTCCGCGGTGACGGCACAGCGTCCAGGGGTGGCTGCAGGCCCCTTTGCGTGTCCCGGTAGTCTGGGACTGTGGGAAGCGACAGGACTGGTCAGGCTTTGCGTGTGCAGAACCCCCGAGAGAGTGCCCGGTGGCTCCCATCGCCTGCAGTCTCCACAGGACGGAGTGACGGGCAGACTTGTGCCGACGAGGTCCGTGTTGGTCGACCGCCCGGGATTCCAGGTTCGCAAGTTGGAATCGATTTCGCATCGCAGGTGTTGTGGAAGAACAGAAACGAAACAGGTGCGCTCATCTGGCAAGCTTGTTCAAGGCAGGTGCATGTCGGTCGCGGAGGAAGTCGTAGTGATTCGAGGGGTGCAATTCGCTGCCGTGTCAATTTTACACCCCTGCAATGAATGGGGCGGGGGGGGGGGGTGTCGCGACTGCCGAACTCCTTTTGGGTGAGGACATTCACACAACGCATGAACCAACGTCGCTCGCACCATGCTTCTGGTGCGGCCCCCCCCACAGGGCAGATTTTGCTTGCCAACACCAAGTGTTTTGCATTTCCTCTGAGCGTTGCAGCGAACCATGATTCGATGACCCGCCGCACAGCCACGTCCCCCGTCTTTCCTGAAGGATTTGAGAACCGCGTGGCTGCACCCATACACAGTAAAGCGTTGGACAGCACGCACACCGAGTCATGTGGCTGGGTCTCAAACCCATTGATCGAAAGGACATCCAGACGCTTCGCACAGACCCTTTTGCGGCACAGATACATGACATTCGCAACGCCCGCCACCATGATCGGCCACGACCATCCCTCAATGTTGTGAGCGGTCAGCTCATGCCCGGTTGAGTGCTGCGGTATCCCACACTGACTCGACAAACAATGAGTGAGTGGAGAGAGACATCGCCTGTGTCAGATGACCAACAATTTGTTTCCCAAACTGTCATTGACTCTGGGCCATTGCCTCCTGAGGTGCTGATTGGGCTGTCCCACCATCAGCTCACGGCTCACACACCAACCTCTGCCGTGTGGGTGGGCGTGGGCCCCGGGTTTGCGCCACACACTGGCATGAGGTGTTGAGGAGACTCCACGTGGGATTTGATTCCTGGAGCGCCAGCGGCCGTCCACCTCTCACGACAGAAAGGGAACCCTGAAACTCCGAAAGCAGTGACGAATGCACTCCAAAGTGGAACCTGAGAGGCGTTTTCCCCATCACTCGTATCGTGGTATCTCTGGGTTTGAGGCACTCCGTCAGATGCTTGTTGGCTGTGTTTCTCGACCATGTGGACGACAGCGAACTTCACCACTCGCTCGCTGACCCGCACGATTTCATGCTGGGACAGGGGGGTGGGGGGAGGGTTCAGAGCCGCCTGGGTAGGAGTTATGTTTTTCACGTCAAGTCTCTATTGCGATGCGGCAACGCTTTCAAAAGGGACCCGCGCCGCCTGGATCGATATCTCACCGTGCCGTCTCGCGTCCGACAAACACCTCCCGCACTACCGGAAAGGGCATCATCTTGGCGGGTTTGTCAATCGTGCCGTCAAATGCCATCTATTTTTGGCATGTCGAACTGAGCCTCTCGTTGCAGTCCCGTGTCCTAAGGCTGACTTGGTCTGAGCCTTTGCAACCCAAGTCGCATCACTACCAATCCAGTCAACAGGTACGCCTTCTCTGCGGCGTGGTCTTCGCACTGACATTAGCGACACAACCCTCGTATGATATCAGAGTGTATTCCGTGATGCTTCCTGGCCCGAATAGTCCTTCCGATGGAGACAGCTTTCCAGTTCAAACATTTCGATACCAGCTCTGGTCCTTGAGCACGGGAGGTGCGACGCAAACATCACGATTCAGTCAGGAGTCCTCGTGATCCGTACCGAGCTCAATTTTATGCCATCCCTCCGTCCTTGGCCGGCTGTTGACTGGACCACGACCATGATCTAGAGAGGGGATAGGTTCATGGCTGCTCCAATTGAGCAAGGTTGTTTACGGGAGACAGGACGTGTGGCGAGCAAGGCAGCTGAGTGTCTAGACATGAGCGAAACATGAACTTGGAGGCTTAATAATGTCTAGTCGGGCGCGCGGCCTTAGAATAGCATGTGTTGCGCCGAGATTTGCCAAGTGGTTGAGTCGTCCTTTCGCTCTTCGCGATGTTGCTGCACGGCAAAATTTCAACCTGCAACGCACAGGCAGCAAGAGTCATGTCTGGATCGATTCGCTCCGGAATTGAGGCTCCACAATGGCCAAAAAGAAATCAGAACCCGACGCGGGGGTCGAACCCGCAACCTTAAGATGCCACTCTAACACATGGTGTTTTTGATCGAGATAGAAGTCTTACGCGCTACCATTGCGCTAGCCGGGCTTCGGATTGTTTGTTGGATTTGCGTTGCGGAATTGCTCTACTCCAACCCCGTTCACGCAATCGCCCCACACAAGGCGAATAATCGCAACACATGCGCCACCGGGGTTGCGGTTCAAGCTTTGCTAAATTAAACCACAAATGTTTGGCGGGTGAGTCAATCGTATCAAGCTTGCCTTGAAAGTGCCGCCAACATTCAACAGGGGTTGTCCGAGATATAATCAAATCACATGTCAATGTTATAGCGTGCCTGGATTTCTTGTCGGCAAAGTGAAAGATCAAAAGATCCGGTAGTATGTCATGGTTTTGGCTGAAGCCACCAATACTTTTCCTGGCATGTCGAAACCCCTCAAGACTTGCAGCCCGGTGAAAGAATCCACATCTCACCAGCTTCTCAGGGACCACTAGTTGCCTTTCCTAGACAACTCTCACCTAGCCCGAGCTCATCTCCTGCAACCCTGTCTTCTGAGCCAAACAGGGCATTAGAGGGCTTCCAAAAGCGCCAATCTCGAGTTGTGCGACGATTGTTCCAGTGCAGAAAGCCTACATTGTCTTTTCATTGTGGGCTTTTTCGCTGATGTGACATGCTAGGCTGATCTCTTCCTGTCCAGGAAACCGCTACGTTATGTGCAAAGGCAAAGGGATCTCCACAAACCATCTGAGATTGATCCTGATGGATCCCACCTTGCTGACATAAACCGATCCATGGAATATATTAATTTGCTCCTGCCCCTCATTTCGGCCGTGTTAAATGAAGCCTTTGGCTGACTGCTACTTCTTTCCCGTCTTAATTCCGAATATTCTGAGATTCAACTCCCATCAGTCAATCACTGAAAATGGCCGACCAACTCCGCAACATGGTCACGCCGACCTTGCTCCACGACGTTAGAAAAATCGTCTTCCCCTTTTCCGAGACAGAACCTCTCGATTTCACCGTGGTATCTCACACTGGCTTCGGTGGCGGGGGGTCGCCTACCCTCCCTGACAAGGTGCGGAAACAAGTCTGGCCGTTCCTCGTCGCACTCAGCAGGCTGGGACTTGACAACGCACCTGACATGACGACATTCCTACCTGTTCCCTCCGATCCCGATTTCGCACGACAGGCAATGGGGTTGCAACTCCTCCTTGACCAAATGCCCCGACGACTGTGCAGGGGCGTGGACTGTCGCTGGACAAACGTCTACTTCGACATCATCAGCTTGAAGTATGCGCAGAAGCTGGACGCCCTCCCTGAAGATCAGAAGCCCTGGTCCTGGGCGCAGTGGAAGGACTGTAGCACGCTCGACTACTGGATCCTGGCACGGACGACATTTGTTGTCCCCTTCACGCACAGGGACTCCATCGAGACCCAGGAGCGCTCCTTGGAGTTTTCGGAGGAAACGCGTAAAACGATCGAGGATATGACCGGAACAAAGGATCCGTATCGTGCACGACGTGGGGAGATTCTGTCCGATATCTATGGGTTTCCTCGGGTCATTCGGGATGGCCCGCCAAAGGAGAATGTCACAATTCAGGATTACACGTACTGGGTTTTCATGTTGATGGACGTGCACAAACCTTTGGTGGATGCTTTTGGGCGGTATCCGTACAGGAATGCGTATTTTGGGCGGGATGATACGCCTGACGAGGTGGAGTGGTTTGAGAAAACGGGTGACTTTGCGAGACCGCCGAAGGACGCAAGGGATCGGCTGAAGGCGGACTTTGAGGCGGGGACCTGGACGCCCCTGGATGAGGGTTTGCATATGTGAAATCGCTCTATAGAGTATGTGGAGGCTTGAAGAAATAACACCAATGGATGTAGTGTTTTGGGGCCTTGGATGCTGGTACTGTCCTGGTGTTTGTGTCATCCTATCCTCTTCCGCGGATCAGCACTTGGCAGCGGTATCTTCTGCTGCAGGATGTGAGTATTGTCCGCTATAAATCTCCGAGTCCGAGAAATCTTGATGCTGATTTTATTGGCCGCGTCAGGTCGCTGAAGTCCGAGGGGAGCGGGCAACCTAATGCTCCGCAAAATGCGGGGTAGATATCATCGATCCTGCTGGCTGATGAAGAATAGTTTCACGTTTGCATCGTCGACCAAACCGCATCGGTTCAGTGAGAGCGCCTGCCATGGATTGCAACCAGGGCTGCGCCTTCTGCAGGTCGTTTGTCGCATCGCTGGAAGCCACTTACACCAATACCATACAACCAGGGGTGCGTCCCGAACCGGGGAAGATGCACAGCTTCGACTGGTCGTTCAAAGACAAAATACCCTCGTTGCCAGCCCTTGCCGCCAGTGCAAAGAACGGATGCCGATGGTGTGAGCTCCTCGATCGCACCATCACCATTCCTCCGGGCACGCCATTCGACAGCGATGGTCCCGAGGCGGAGGAACGGCCCGTTACCATGACCTTTCGTTTGGCCACGGGAGACACGCATCAGGCCAGGGGTGCAGTAGCGGACATCCGTTCTTTGAGCATGCACATGACCAAACCATCAGACGGGTCGTTCTCGGCTCGGTGGGGTGGGGGGCCTGTTTGTGGCCGGATCAACGTGATCGATACTGATGGTATGATGATCATGATAATGATGCTGGGCCTTTCTTTTGGTGGCTGGCTGACCGTGTGGTCCAGACTTCGCGCCTTTCTCTGAAGGCAATATCTCAAAAGCGCAGGATGCCATCGACCGATGTATGGGAAGTCATCCCTCATATCAAACCACTGTTGCTGAGGGCAAAAGCCCCCTGAGGCTTCTTGATGTGATGGACGGCGATGTCGTCAAATTGGAACATACTTCAGACATGAGACACGTATATGCGGCTCTGAGTTACTGCTGGGGGGCAACTCATTATCCATCAAGGCAGCCCAAACAATGCAACACAATCTCGACGAGAGAACAAGCCCATTTTCTCTCTCGGCCCTCTCACAAACCCTCCAGGACGCGGTGCTGCTCACACGATCTCTTGGCATCCGTTACATTTGGATTGATGCCATTTGCATCGTCCAGGACGACCGCGCGGAATGGATGGTTGAAGCTCAGAAAATGATGCAGTATTATGGCGACGCTCAAGTCACCATCGTCCCGGCCCACGCCGACTCGGCGGACTCCGGTATGAAAACGGAACGCGAAGTTCCCTTCTCTCGCAGATTCACAGGCCCTTGGAATAACGATTCAGGGCGCGATCTCATCCTGACCAACACCGCATTCAAGACCAGAGACGCGGTCTCCAAGTGGGCTTGGAATCAGCGCGGATGGACCTATCAGGAGAGGCTAAACTCGGCTCGTCTCCTTTTCGTCTTCAGCCACAGTCTCATGTTGAATTGTCGCCAAGGCTCTTGGAACAGTCTCACAGGATGGGATCACCAGCCCCGAGAGGCATGGAGCACTTTTCTGCCTCTGCGTAGCCCAGGCAAGACACAAAGCCGGCTTGATCGCGATGCGAATACCTGGTGTAGTCTCGTCGGGAACTACACACAAAGGCAATTGACGAGCCGGAGGGACAAGTGGTTTGCATTTTCTAGTATAGCCGAGGCCTTTTCAAGAGCTTCTGGCCGTCGAACGGTTGCGGGTTTGCTAGAAGACAGGCTTCTCGAAGACCTTGCTTCTTGGAGATCGCCCAAGCACCCATCCCATTCCCCCACATTGTCCCATGCCCCTTCTTTTCATAATCCAGGGGGGTTTGATCACGACACCACGGCATCCCCTGAACACAACTTTCCCTCCTGGAGCTGGCTGTCCTCTGAGTGGACAGACCACAATAAAGAGGTGGTGTTCAGCTGGTCTTCGATCCTCCCAGTTCGTGACGAAGAGCCTCGCTCCATCCTGATTTCGAGTGTGGGGGACATGCGAAGCCATCACACCATCAAGGTCAAGATTTCAGGACCAATACTACCGAAAGAGGTGGTTCTGAAGATTATGGGACATTCCCGTGATCATTCTCTCGGCATCAAGCTCCACGACACCCCTTGCACTGTCTTTCTCGACAAGACATGCGACGATATGTACGCTTGTTCATGCAAGTTGAGACACAGCACTCCTGACTGCAGGTCGTACAACATCATAAAGTTACTCTCCCAAGCGGCCTCTGCCTTGCTGATAGGGCAAGCAGATTTCGACATGATTCCCGATCCTGGCACATGGGGTCCCGTGCGTGGGCCGCCCTTATCTTTTTGGCATTTCCTCCTCATTCAGCCTGTTGGGATATCATCTGGTGCAGCTGGGGCACAGACAGCGGGAGTGTGAATACAGGCGGATTGGCATCATGCATGTCCGTGACGATCACTTGGATGGGGATATCGAAGATAGGATGCGCTGTGAGAAGCAGGAGACCATTGTTCTAGTCTGAAGGTGAAGAAAGTGTCTCATTTATTTCATCCAGTTGGGCGACCCCTGCTGTTGCGATAGGAGCCCCTGACGCCTACAAGAGCTCATCGTTTAAGTATCCGTACTTCTCTACTAGACTTTTGACCTTGTCGAGAGGGAGCGCTTCGATGACCCTTCCGTCTACGCCCACCATGGTCTCCGCCATGCAGAGAGCATTGTAGATGGCCTCCTCAGTCGCGTCCGCCGCGGCCTCGAATAGGGCGTTGATAGTCTGGTCATCCAACACCTGCAGATCCATCGGAGTGGGCTTCCACGGATCCACGCTCCTCTTGTTCGCCGTGACCGTCTGGACCGGTATCTCGCTCGCCGTCGAGAACGCAAGAAAGATATCCCCTGACGGATTATGCCCCACTCCCCCAACCCTCGACAGCCCCGACGTCGCCCTCTTCGCCACCCTCTGCAGCTGCAACGGATGCAACGGCGCATCCGTAGCCAAAATCACAATGATACTCCCATCCTTCCGATTCTTCTCCGTCTCGAGCTCCTCCAGCGCCTTCTTCCGCTTTTCATCCTCCGCCGCCCTTCTCTCCACCTCCCTTTGCAACACCCGCCCGACCGGAACCCCCCCAATTCTCAAAGCATCCGGCCTCCCATAATTCGCTTGCACCAACGCCGCCACCGTATACGTCTTCTCCTTCCTC